ATAGATGGACATAGAACAAATTGTTAAATGAGTAGGCCAAGTTCAGAGAGAGAGAGAGAAACGGCATGTATTTTCTCTCAGATGTGGAAGCTAGATCTAGAATACACTGGGACATGAGAAATTATAAGGGACTCTAGACATTTAAACATAGTGAGACCAAAGGAGGATACTCTTAGTAGAGAAGTGCAAAGGCATAATGCCTATGTGCCTCTGATCATATATTTATTGAAATGAACTCCAGGAAATTAGAACAAGAGGTTTTTTCTTTGTTGCTATTTTTGCTTTTCTTTTTTTCATTTATGTCTTTGGGAGGAAAAGGGGGGGCACAGAAATGGAGGGACAAAGGTTGAACAAATGCAACAGTGGTACTCACCTAAGACATTAGACTGAAAATGAACTATATGACTTTTGAGTGGGGATAATAGGGGAAAACTGGGAGGAGGTGAGGGAAGGGATGACATTGTCCAAAAACAAATGTACTCTTTACCTGAATTATGTAATTGTAACTCCTCTGTACATCACCTTTATAACAAAAGTAAATAAATAAAAAAGGAACTTAAAAACAAAAAAGCTCAAAACGAAAATGGAGAAATCAGAATGCACTCCAATATCTGATTTGGAAGGGGTGGTTGTATCTAAAAAGAAAAATCAGCTTACCTTGGAGTGCTGACACCTGGAGGAGTCTGGCTTTTATTTGCCAGGGTTTCAGAAAATTTGCCAGTACTTTAGAAAAACTTACTTTCTTGTTGCCCTGAAATTAATGATAATGAAAACAACTTCAACCAAAAATTTAAAGTCATTTACACACAGTAAATTAAGAAAAGAAAGACCAGGAACTTCACAATATCCTTATGGGAAAAGGTGGAAAACTAGAAGTGGTAGATCAGAAAGTATAAAATTGGCCATTGTTCTCATAACCTTTGAAAAACTTCTGCAAATGTTACTCATAAAATGATTAAAAGTCATGCACCAGTGGCTCATGCCTGTAATCTTAGTACTCAGAGGAAGCTGAGATCTGAGGGTTAGAGTTTGAAGCTAGGCCAGGCAAGAAAATTAACTTTTTCTCCAATTAAACCCCAAAAAAGGTGAAGTGGGGCTGTGGCTCAAGTGGTAGAGCACTAGCCTTGAGCACAAGATCTCAGGGACAGCACCCCGACTCCTCAGTTCAAGCTTCAGGACTGTTACGTGCATGCATACTCAGACACCCTCCACCCCCCCCCCCACACAAATACACCCATATGATTACCAAAAGTCCAAGGATTCTGGATATATCTAAGGTAAGAAGGGCGTGGGCTTCAAAGATCATCTAGGACTGTGAGTGTAGCTTGAGGGTCTTTGTTTTTTAAATAAACTCAGATGGCTCACTGCCTCACTTGTAATTGCAATACTATATACTTGGAAAGTATAAAAGACAACAGGCAGCTGGTGCTTATGGCTCATGCCTGTAATCCCAGATACTCAGGATGTTGAAGTCTGGAGGATAATGGTTCAAAATCAGAAGAGTACATTAGACTTCATCCCCAAAATAACCAAGAAGTATGGCTGGAAGATTAGCTCAGGTACTACAATGCTACCCACAGGGATGAGGTCCCTCTAGTAAGACAAAAAAATCAAAACCAAACAACAACAACAACAAAAAATACAGGACTGCAAATGTTATGTGTTAACAAATTATAGAGTGAGATGTTGGGCATCTACTGATTCATATATATATATATATATATATATATTCATAGTTTATCATGCCTTTGGCTTGGAAACCCCTTGTTACTACATGCTTGTTTTGCTTACATGGAACACAGGTCATGGCATTAAAATACAATAAAAAGGCTTTAATGCTTTAGCCAATAAATTAGTTTTCTCTTTTCATTTTTACATTTCTCTTTTCATTTCTATTCAGTCTTAAGGGCAGTAAATTTTGTCAGTTTTCTTAGAATTCTACGCTATGCTTCCACACAGGGCACAGACATATAGTGATGACCAGTGTCTTGTTCTCCAACATGTAATGAGACATATCATTTCATTTAATATCTGAGATTCTTTGTGTGAGACAAATAAAGGACTACTTTAAATTCACACCTCATGTGTTACCTACAGAAAGAAGGCTGCTTAAAATTATTTTTTTAATTTAGTAAAATAACATAAAAAATTTGCTCCTGAATGGAAAGACTTGGAAAAAATTAAATTAAGTGAAGGTAGGCCCGAAGAAACATAGGTCCTTATTTGCAATAACTAGTATATGTCTGGGACAAGCAGAAAAGGTCAAAAAGCTATGTACATATGACCAGATAAGATGATGTTAAGTGAAATGAACCCCAAGATAGGACACAAGTGGTTTTTTCTTGCTTGCTATTGTTCCTAATGTATTTATAATCCACCATGTGATTTTTTTTGTTTCTTTGCATGTTCCTCCCCCAAGGTACAACCCTGTTTCCACTGTATTTGATGTCAGTGCCCTGCATCTTGTATACACACTTCTCTAGCTTGGGGAGGGGAAGGGAAAAAACAAAATATCTAAATAGGGATACAGGTTGACCCATGATAACAATGAGATGTACAAGACACTATGTTGAAAAACAAACTTTAAAATTTAGGCAGGGAAGAGGGGAGGAGTGTAGCTGTGGAAGTGGGAGGGAAGGGAAGGTAGGGGAAAAACAAAGGAAGAGGTGACAATGCTTGATAGGACATGTACTCATTACCTTGCGCATGTAACTGTAACCCCTCTGTACAGTATTTTTACAATAAAAAAGTCTTTTAAAATATAAATAAAAAATTGCTCCTGTACTCTATTTGTGCTAAACCCATATACAAGTTAGTTCTAAAGGGAATCAAGTTCAGAAACCCAAGAAATCCAAAGAAGAAAAACACACAGTGACACAAACCATTCACCAGCGACAAAGGAATCAGCAAACTGTTGGAAAACAGAGAGCTTGTAATAATGAAAAAAGGACAGTTTTGTAATCAATCACTTGTTTTCTTTGAAAAACACATAACCACATTAACTTTTTTGCTTTATACATCCATCTAGAAACTATAAAACAGTACCACATTGTGCATTTAGCCTACTTATCAAGAAGGGAACTCCACATGTCGTAAGAATTCTACCCATATTAAAAAGGAAGGAGACAGCAAATAGCATAGTCACAGGTACAACATAAGTCCAAGCAAAATGATCAATTCTTTGACGTCACCTTTTCCATTTATCAGAGTGGAGAGTAAGAAAGCCAGGGGAAAAAAGAGGGAAAGAATCACCCACAGAGGACTAAACACAATCCATAGTTACTTTCCACAACTATTGCGCAGGGTTTCATAGAATAGTATTATTTGACCAACACACTGTGAATGGGGGTATGGGTGTGAAGGAAACTTGAGTAGAAGGAGAGAGAATGGTTTCATCCTGTTCCCTCCTAAATACTCTTCAATGATACAAGCTTCTGTGCTAATCCAAAAAATGGCAAGAAATTAATATTCACAATGTGATAAAGCTTAAAGAGATTTGTTCTTTTTGCAGTGGAAATGTTTCACAACAGTACCTTACAGTTCAAAAGAATTACAATTTTAGGAGCAATTACTCCTTAAGAGATTTCCCCACAATCCTTTTCCCTACTCTTAACATGGTGGCTCTGCTACGGACAATCTGTAAATTACTGAGTGGGAATTCAGAGATAAATATTAAGGGACAGTGAGATGGAATTCTTGCTCTTTCTATAAGTCCACCTCTTTCTAATAGTACTGAGGGCTGTAATCGTGATTTCTGGTGGTAGATGGGAAAGGAAATAAGTATTCAGCCAAGTAACTGGGTTGAAGGTGGGTAAGATGACACTGCAATTAGCACACATAGTGAATTCAAGGCAAACAATAGGCCTTGAGCTGAAGAGCTGAGGGACAGTGCCCAGGCCCAGAGTTCAGGCCCCATGACTGGACCCCCCCCTCCAAAAAAAAATAAGCCAAAGGTTGCTACAAGGAAACATACTTCAGCTGAAAATTAGTATAGTGATTCTCCTTGCTTCAGGGAAAACTCTCACTTCCTCTTCCACCTTTATGAAGAAAATGTATTCTAGATTATTTCAGAGCAACAACTTGGTATCAAGAGTCTGACACTTCATCATGAGTAATGCCAATGAGTGGGCCCTTCTCCATTGCTTATATATACTACCTTTAGCTCTCCCAGAACTGAGATTTTTCAATTTTCTAAAATTTAATGAGTCCAATTAATGTTGGTTAGACTGTTGATGTATAATAATTAAGAACACAAAACTTCTTATGCTAGTAATATAATCAACTCTAACCCACATACCATGTGTTCTCAAACAGCATAGACTTAAAAAATTACAATGCAGAAAGTTGGGACATTTAAATATTTAGTATCAAGGCTGATATTTGAAAGGTATGTATATTACATACCTTCTATGTACATACATATGTACATAAGCAATATAGAAAGGTATGTATGTTATAGTAATTTAGAAAACTACTGTCCATTTTTTAGCAAATGACAGGCAAAAAGAAGAGAAAGAAGAGGAGGGGGAAGAGGGGGAGGAAGGGGGGAAGAAGAGGAGGAGGGGAGGAGGAAGAAGAAAGGGAAAGAAGGAAGGGAGAGGAGGGAGAGAGGGAGGGAGGGAGGGAAAGAAAAAAACGAATCAAGTAGATGTGATTCATTTTCCTTTAACTAACTTTTCCAAATGTTCTACCAGAAATTCTATTTTGACCCAAATACTATTGGTCTCTGTAATGGCACTGGTTTGTTACATTTGAGAAAAGTATGGTGATTTTTGTGGCTAAGAAAACTAAAAATTCAACATTTTTTTAAATTTAAGAAGCCATCTTAATTAAAAAAAAAACCTAAGTGTTATGTAATAATTACAGACTTTTTGAATTAGGTAAATTTTATGCAAACTAAAAGAATAACTTGATATATGATTAGAAAATAAAAGTGTAATCATTTCAGAAAATCCTAAGCTTCTGAATAAAATGTCACGGATATATATATATCTATCTTCTTTTTCTTAGAATGTAAGGTAAAATAGTGAGGGAACAATAAGAACATCTATCACGGCAGCTCTTTCTCCACAACATAATCAGGGAGAGAGGTCTGGAGAGGCATCACCAACATGTCACTGAGCTCACACACTTTTCAAATGGCCCTGCATCTACTGCCAAGGTCCAACGTCTTCCACTCTTCTCTGTTAGATCCAAAATTATTTTTTTACTCTTCAACCATATGTCTGCTAATTTGCTGTGTGTTCTTACCTTAGTTCACCTGTTCAGAAACGAATGAGAAGCTTTCTCTGGTGAATGTACTTGATCTAATGATGGTAGAAAGCTAGCATATGTGAACAAATCCAGTAAGAGCTCAGTTAAAATAGCAGAAAAGCATTTTGAGTCATGGATCCTGGCCACAATTTTCCTTCTTTAACAGTTAGTATAGGTTACTATTGACTGCTAGTTTCTGAGTCTGAAGTGAAGCAGTTTGCCTAAGGAGTCTAATGACAGGCAGCCTTAAGTGAGAGTGCTTAAAATAGTGCCTACCAAATAAAACATCGTTGTTTTCTAATTTCTCTGCATACACAAGTGCTTTCATACTTACATAAATCTAAAAAGTGAATTTTATTCTTTTGTTTAGAGTTTTTCTCCTCATTCCTCTGGGGGATATTTTAACTGGTATTAAAAATGGAGTGGTTCTCAAATAAAAACACTAGAATTTCTATATCAGATAATATTTTACACCTTTGATTAAACTAAGAATGAAGCTATCAAGAGTTTTAGTATATACGAGTCTCCAATAAAATTTTAGGCAGGATATTACATTCACAAGTACTAGAGCACAGAAAAGGTGGAAAAGGTGCATTACTTTTTTATGAGGGAAAGAATGTAAACGTGTATTACTTTGTCTTCCAAACACTTTTGGTGAGGGATGCCCTTTTTCTCATTACAGTTCTAAGAGGAAAGAAATGGATGTTTAATTAGGTATTTGAGACTTTGTCACAGTAAGCTGAAAGTTCATAAGCCTTATTTCTAAGCAGCCTATACACCAACAGGACAAACATACCAGAAAAAGAAAAAAATGTATTTTTTATCAGTGTATTACCTATGAAAAAAGAAGACTGATGGGGCCTAGAGGAGAAAGAACAAACTATCCATTTGATACACTGAAGTAAAAACCAGGAGTTGAAATACCAGCATTTAAGGTAAGATTTTCTCTGTACCATCACCTAGATTCACTAACAGAGAATGGAGCTGACAATTCAAGTGGCTCTAGATACAGAGTACCAGCAATTTTGTCTAAGAAATGACTGACCACTGGTCTTCTACATATACTAATAATTACTGCTATTGCTTGATAGACTAGTAATAGTTCCCTCAAAGTTTTAAAGTATAAAAAAACAGGTTAGGGAAAAATTCTAAAGTAGAAATAATATAGCCTTTTATCTACTAAAGGTCTCTTAGTATATTGTCGCCACTGATTATTAGGCAGGATTTATTTAAAATTAAGAAAAAGTAAACATTTCCCTTCTGTCTTAAGAAAGGGATTGCTTGGCAAAACAAATGATAGCCATAGAAGCCACAAAGTTGTATGATTTTTCAGGAAAAAGAAATTTTCAGTTCATACAGGGAACAAATTTTCAGTTCATACAGGGAACAAATTTTGGAAGCTTATCAGAATAAAAATGTAAGAAACTCCTTTTAAAAAATTTGTCAGTTAACTGATAGAAATTTATCAATAGCAGGGAGTGAAGTTTTATGATACGGAGAAGACGGTCTGATAACAAAAACCTAAGTTGAAGAGCATTAAGCGTGAGGAACTGTTAACAGCTGCCTTTCTACTTGGTTGTTTCTTGGTCTAAAAATAAATGTGAATGTCATAAAATTTTACTTTCATGAATCTACTGATGTTTGACTTTGGAACTTCATCTGGGTCTTGAGTGGGCATTAAAAGACTACTTTTTCCTAATAGTTTTATATTAATTTTGGTAGATTATATATATATATATATATATATATGTATATTTTTTCAGTGCTTGAGGCTGTACCTAGGGCCTTAATTTTCTTGGCAAGTATTTCCACTACTGAAATACACCCCAACCATGAAATGCTAAATTTAATGGACATCTTAGGAGGAAAAGGAATGAGAAAAGCAAGTGAGAATTGGTATTGTATACAGACCATATTAGTCTGGTATATGTATATATGAATGTATATATATTTTTATGTATGTCCAGGTTTAGATTGCAACATTTTAGCTCAGGTTTCTACCATGGCAGGGCAGAAAACTCAGTGGTTATTTCTTAAAACTGCTGGCAGAAACTGCTAACAAGGTCTTTTGTAGCAATATGTAGCAATATAATATGAGGACACCCTTGTTATTCACAACAGTATATGGTTCCCCACAATGGACTTTTAATTTGATCAATTCTGGCTTAAGTGGGTAAGAGCAGAGGAAAAAATACCTAGTATTGGTGTGAAGAACCTCCAAAATAGCTGTCTTTCAACTCAGTATTGTATTACAATTCCCCTACATGCTGGAGCATAGTAAGGCATAATTTTAGTTGTTATGGCTAGGATGTGGGCAAACATAGTCCACATCTACTTCTAAAAAACTAAGTACCAGAACCTCTTACATGAATTTCAACTAGGAGGAGTATAGAAGCGTGTGGGATGCTTTATTATGAGAGATGCTCAGGACTCTAAAGCAGCAGCAACTTAAAATTTAGTAATAAAACTTTGGCTTAAAATTAGAAAGAGAAAAAGTCAAACTGGTGCAAGTTGTATCCTGAAAGAGGTATGTGGGACTCATAAATGCCATCCAACATTAGTTTCCCCCATCTTCTTTCACTGTTATCACTATCATTGCACAGGAGTTATATCATTCTTTTATGGTTAAGTTCATAAATAATGAGAAAACCATATGTAACAAATACATCATATTGCCCACCCCCCCAACAACCCTCCCCCAAATAAGAAAAGTTAAATCAAATTAAAAAGTAGCTTCATGAATGAAGGTACTGCTCTAAGTTGCACTTTTCCTGCAAGTGCAGCCAGTGCCTTTGTGCTGGGTATGAAGGAAAGGAAAGGAAAAAATTCTCCACATAAACTGACAAAATTTAAAAACCAATGTCCGGTTTCAACCAGTCAAAACCGGCAAAGCAGAAGCTGAGAGACATCTCCATACTATCCCATCAGAGGGTCCTTTCAATGCCTGTTCTGTTCTTCATCTTGATAGATATCTGTGTCCTTGTGATTGTAAACAATCCATAAGATACTATGTTTTTGTTTCTTAAAACATCCTCTAATTGGCAAAATGAAGTATTTGTTTTAAAAATAGAAAATTAAGATTAAACCAGAAGAAAAGAAAAGAAACACAGTGAGCTTGTTTGGAGTCCATAGGATCCGATCTGGAAGAGCTCGGAAAATGTGTTATGTTTTTTTCTCCTGTTTTCAGCTGGAAAAAAGGTACTAGAGGTTGCGTTGGTCGAGGAAAGAATTGTAGAGTAGGAAAACCAGGATGTTAATCTAGACTTCAGAGAATTCAAGTGTTAGCTTCATCATCCGTGTCTTCTATCAATACTTTAGTGTCACGAGTCTTGGATCTAGTGGTAATAAGAGGAAAAAAAAGCACTTAGTTCATTACTAATATATAAACATACTCATAGAATCAGGTACATTTCCAAACTTACCACCACTAAACATCCTAAACAGGCATTATTTACTGCACTTAGTGGCTCATGCCTATAATCCTAGCTACTCAGGAGGCTGAGATCTTTTTTTTTTTTTAAGGTAAAATGGTATTTTATTAAAATGACATCAACAGAAGCAATTATCAAAATGCTTTAATATGAATGGGTTTTATCTACATGTAAATTACTCTAATTGTCACACTATTTCTGGGGTTCATACTCAATTTCAAGGTATCACTAGAAAAACTCTATGGGGAAGGTAACAAACACAAATCAAGTTTATCAGAACAGTAATCTGGAATAAGAAGATTTGTATTTGCTGAGGGCATGGCTCAAACAGTAGAGTGCTTGCCTTAAAAGCACAGGGCCTGAATTCAAACCCCAGTAACCACTAAAAAAGATCTAAATTTGAGCCAGGTGTGGGTAGCTCATGGCTGTAATCCTAGCTACTCAGGAGGCTGAGATCTGAGGGTCACATTTCAAAGCCAGCCTGGGCAAGAAAGTCCATGAGACTCTTTCTTATGCCCAATTAACTATCAGAAAACTGGTATCACCCAGGCTCAGAGTTCAATCAAGCACCACCACTGACCAAAAAAAAACCAAACTGACCAAACCTTTTTTTTTTTTTTGGGTTGCTCCCTTTTTTTTTTGGTCAGTGTTGGGGCTTGAACTCTGGGCTTGGGCATTATCCCTGAGCTCTTCAGCTCAAGGCGAGTGCTCTTCCGCTTGAGCAAGAGCACCACTTGTGGTTTTCTAGTGGTTTATTGGAGATAAGAGTCTCAAGGACTTTCCTGCCTGGGCTTGCTTAGAACAGTTATCCTCAGATCCCAGCCTCCTGAGTAGCTAGGATTACAGGCATGAGCCACTGGTGGCCGGCCAAACATCACTTTTGGAATGCCCATTTCCGTATCTGTAAAGAAGGAATACCAATTTCATTTACTAATCCTTTTACCTCATGGAGAGTGTGCTTATCCATCAAGTGAGGAAATGGGTACAAAAAGCATCAATAAGCCATTAAACAAATATAAGGAATTATGATAAGGATAAGCAAAATACTACCTGAAGTAGCCTGAAAAACTAGGAGAGTTAGCAAATAGAATAATGAGCATATAATAAAATTATTAAATAAATCATGTTGGAGTAAATTTAAGCCAACAACATCTACCACTATATCCAACAATAAAATTCAGTAGGTGTTTCATATAGTTACAGACTCCATTATCACTATTAATTGGCCATTGGCACAAAATGGTCATCTGTTGGAAAGATGCTGTAAAAGACATTCCTGAACTGGATAAAAAAAATGAGATTAGGTAATGTTTACATATCCTGCAAGTTATGAACCTCATAAGATATAAGCAGTATTTCATGAGATAGGAATCATTATTCCTACTTGGCATAGGGGGAAGCTGACATTCACAAAATTAAAGGATGTATGCTAAAGGTCACACAAATCATAAAGTTAGAGCTCAGAGTCAGATCTTCTCACATTAGATTCCTTTACTACCTTTGTTGCACCGAGCTTGCTCTACTCTAAATATCTTCCTTTGGCTGTAGTCTAGTTATCCAGTGTTTTTACTAAACACCTGAAATTGAACATAATTGCTTAAAAGCCTGCTAGTTTCTGAAATAGTGTGATTAGACTTCCCTCTGCTGGAAAATCATGAAGATTGCACGTTGAAAATCAGGAGCTAACAGATCGCACATCATGTAAGACATTTTCTTTTAGCCTCTAGTGGTACTTACCTTGCTAAGTATACCCACCCACTCCCAGCCTCTTTAAACATTACTTCCTTGGTATAAAACTGCTTTGATTTTCTTCCTATCAATTTTCTTGACCACTCTGCCTTTTATTTATGTGTTTATCTCCTGCAAGTTTCTTGCTCTCTGCTTTCATTTTTCTCTGCTTTCTTTTCAGAGAATGTCTAAAGTCCTATCTAAACCTTTGGAATTTTTTTTAGTTGGTCATGGGGATTGAACTATGGGCCTAGGTGCTATCCTTGAGCTCTTCAGTTTAAGGTAAGCACTCTACCACTTGGCCAAAGCACCACTTCCGGTTTTCTGGTGGTTTATTGGAGATAAGATTTTAACAGACTTTCCTGACCTGGCTGACTTTGAACTGCAATCCTCAATTCTTAGCCTCCTGAGTAGCTATGATTACAGGTATGAGCCACTGGTGCCTGGCTAGAAATTTTTATCCTATTAAGAAAGAGGAGCAGTAGTGGCTCATGCCTGTAATCCTAGCTACTCAGGAGGCTGAGATTTTTTTTTAAAAAGTAAGTTGGTATTTTATTAAAATGACATCGACAGAAGCAATTATCAAAATGCTTTAATATCAATGAGTTTTAAATATCATGTAAATCACTCTAATTGTCACAGGCCTAATTCTCTTAGAATGATGGTTTCCTGTGCATCTTTCTCAACTATACGTTACTGAGAAGTTCCTACAGAACTGAGGCTGTAGGGGCTGGGAAGGTGGCTCATGCCTTGCATGCCTGAGGCCCTGGGTTCGATTCCTCAGCACCACATAAGCAGAAAAAGCTGGAAGTGGTGCTGTGGCTCAAGTGGTAGAGTACTAGCCTTGAACTGAAGAGCTCAGGGACAGTGCCCAGACCCAGAGTTTAGGCCCCACAACTGACAAAAAGAGAAGAAAAGAAAAGAACTGAGGCTGTAGCTCAGTGATAAGAGTGCTTGCCTCACATGTGGAAGGTACTGAGCTTGACCCCCAGCATTGCAAACCCCCCCTCCGCCCCCACCAATTCCTTTTATAAACTTTCTAAATGTAAGTTTTTTACTTCCACATTCAGCTTTGGGGACACTAAAGGGCTTGCATATTATGCCACTTCACCCCCCTACCCTCCAACTCCCTGTTTCCTTTACTCTTGGTGTTGGCTGTTTGGTTTATATGAAAGCATAAGTAGACACTGTATTTTGTAACAATAATGATGTTTTCTTTCAAACTTCTCAGTTAACCACTTTTAGTCCCATATTGCTAATATTTGACAGTTATTTAAATAAGAGGCTGAGATCTGAGGATCACAGTTCTAAGCCAGCCTGAGCAGGAACATCCTTGATACTCTTTGTATTTTTTTTTTTTTTTTTTTGGTTAGCTATGGGGCCTGAATTCTGGGCCTGGGCGCTGTCCCTCAGCTCTTCAAGACTAGAGCTCTACCACTAGAGCTCTACCACAGCGCCACTTCTAGTTTTCTGGTGGTTTATTGGACATTAAGAGTTTCACAGCCTTTCCTACCCAGGCTGGCTTTGAACCACGATCCCCTTTATTGACCATCAGTTTGTTTTATCATCACTGAAAGCAATGGTATGTAAACACTCCTGCAAATACTCATTTGTGTAGAGATTTGTGTGTGTGTGTGTGTGTGTCTGTCTGTCTGTCTGTCCTGGTACTGGGGCTTAAACTCAGGGCCTGAGTGCTGTCCCTTAACTTTTTTGCTGAAGGCTGACATTCTACCACTTGAGCCATAACATGTATTTCCTACATGTAGCATTATTATTTTTTTGGGGGGGGGCGCGTCGGTCGTGGGGCTTGAACTCTGGGCCTGGGCGTTATCTCTCAGCTCTTCATCTCAAGGCTAGTGTCCTACCACTTTTAGCCACAGCACTATTTCTGGTTTTCTGGTGGTTTATTGGACATAAGAGTTTCACCGACTTTCCTGCCCAAGCTGACTTTAAACCGCAATCCTCAGATCTCAGCCTCCTGAGTAGCTAGGATTACAGGTGTGAGCCACCAGCGCCTGGCTCCTAGCTACTCTTATCTTCACTTAATAACAGAAAAAGCCAGAAATGGAGCTGTCCACTCAAGTGGTAAAGCACTAGCCTTGAGCAAAACGAGATCAGGGACAGCGCCCAGGCCCAGAGTTCAAACCCCAGGATGTACAAAACAAACAACAAACAGAGCTTTTTTTCACCCTACCTTTAAAATGCCTCTTTATGTCTAATCTGAATGTTCACTGTCCGATAGTTCCAAATACTACAATCATTTCCAATTGGTCTCAGGCCTTCAGGCCTTCCCTCTCTTAATGTGTTTTTCACAGTGCGATTAAAACTATTTCCTGCCTACAAGATCAAGTTTGTATTTCTCAATCTTTGGTAATCATACTTTTATGTTTATCCAACTAACTTTTTCTCACTACTGCTTTAGTCACATGGTTCTCCTTTCTGCCCCTTTATACTCTTTACTGGGCTTTTGGCCTAATTCCTTTAAAAATCTCCTCCTTTATTCCTCCTGTTTAGGCTATCAATTGTTTAAAATTTCAAATGCAGTTACCATATACTCTACATTTATTTTTAATTCTAGAAATACACAGTCACCATTGTTATATATTACCTATAATAAAATGTTATAGGTATTTAATAATACTCAGTAATACTTATAATCTCTTTTTGTAAAGGAACTGGTATAATCTAATAATAAATTTAGTCCTGCTAATCATTCTTTGTACAGAAACTATATTAATTTCCAAAAGAGGGATAATAGGGAATTGTTAAAGAGTACATAGATGACAGGACTCTTAAAGTAGATAGCTTGAAGATTTTTAGTATAACATATTCAAAGTAAATCATTCAACAAAATTTTTCCCCAGTTTACCTTTTAATGCCCAACTGGTAGGTAATGAGTTGAATGACATTTACTCTATGTACTCATTAAGGTGTAAATTGGATCATATGAAATTACTGTTTATCACAATGTTTTTTGTAAGTGAATAATGGTGAAAAAACCAGCAAATTCATTTGGTTGAATCCAACAACTTCTTGGATTAAATGTTACTAAATGTCAAAGCCCTTACAGAATTGGAAACTATACATACTGAGAAGCAAGGCGAGGCCGGCGCAGGGATATGCTCTGGTTATACTTCCATGACCGATTCTTTTGGCGGTTTCGAACCCCATCTTCCTGGTCCATCATCTGCTCAAGAAGTGTCTGATCATCTGCATTCAGTGGAGCCACGGAGATGTCTCGCACAGCACGGAATTCACCACAGTTATTTAGATGTTCATTCTCCAGACGGAAGAAGTTCCACACAAAACGCCTTGTAGAGCAAACACATTCCTCATAAATATGAATATACTAATTACTATCACCTATAAACCTCCTAGAGTATTAGGTTTCAATTCATGGACACACAAGCAATCAGTCTAGAATAAATAAAGAAAGATGGAGTAGGGATAAAGGTAGGAAAACAAAAGTGGACTCAAAGAATGTGGTTTTATAAAGTTCCACTGTTTCACATTATCCAGTAAATATTTACTGAGTATCTACTGTAAGGGAAGGAGGCATGAGACAAAGCCTTTGTCTTTATTTTACTGGTAGAGAGAATAAGAAATAACTCATTTGATGGAAAGTGTTCTGAAGAAAGTAAAACTGGAAAGGGCAGAGAATATGCTATCATAAGATTGGTTAGGGAAAGTGTTTCTGAAGAGATGGCATCTAGCAAAATTCTGAATGAAACAAAGAAATAAGTCAGGAGAAAAATGGAAAAGCAAGTATTAAGTAGAAAAAACAGATGATGAAAATGTCTTGGTGTACTGAAACAAAACCAAGAAGGTCCTTAGGGCTAGAGTAAAACAAGTGAGGTTAAAATGCAGAAGATGGAGAGATAGAGGAGGGTATTACTTCAGGTATAATAGAAAACAATGGAAATGAAGAATTTTGATTTATATAAAAAAGATCATTCTATGGCTGAACAGTAAATAGGTAAGAGGAGAAAAGAACAGCTAAAAATGAATTAGAAAGGTGGTGTGGTCTGGACAGATAATGGTGAGTGAGCCAAAGATGATTATAAAGAGGTGATAAGGCTAGGCGCCAGTGCCTCACACCTATAATCTTAGCTACTCGGGAAGCTGAGATCTGAGGATGACGGTTCAAAACCAGCCCAGGCAGGAAAGTCCATGAGACTCTTATCTTGAATAAACCACCAGAAAACTGGACGTGGTTCTGTAGCTCAAGTGGTAGAGCGCTAACTTTGAACTGAAGAGCTGAGGGACAGTGCCCAGGCTAAAGAAAGTATGTTAAAATCTTCCACTAAAAGTATGAGTTAATCTACTTTTTAGCATTGGTAACTTTTGCTTTATGTGGTTTCAAGGTATGTTATTGGATGCATATAGAATTGTCAATAACTACTGAAACTCAAACCTTCCATAGTGGGTAAATTTCTGTAGTAAAGAAGCAGTTTTGGGATGCTGCTTATATTGGGATTTCTGCTTTCCCTTAGATTTTATGTTGATATGTCAGGCTGTTGATATTTTTAGGAAGACTTTAAATACAAAAACAGGAATAAATTGTAAAAATTAATTCTTACAAGATTTTAATAACTGTACCAAGCTGTTTTTTGTTTTTGTTTTGGTAGTCTTTGAGATTGAATTCAGTACTTCACACTTGCTAGACAGATACTCTACCACTGAAACTATATTTCTAGCCCCTTTCTGTGTTGGTTATTTTCAAGGACTCACTTTATGCGGGCCTTGCCTGGCCTGAGCCTCCCTGTTGCTCCTTCCCAAGTCACTGAGGCTAACAGGACTATACCACCATGCCTAGCCAGTGGTTGAGATGAAGTCTCAAGAACTTTTCTGTCAGGTCTAGCCTTGAATTGTAATCCTCTGATCTCTGCCTTCCAAGAAGCTAGGATTACCAACCTGGTCATTCCAAGCCTTTTTAACCTCCCAATTTCCTTTCATAACTCTCAATAGAGCCCCTTTCTTAAAACTTAGAAATCATCAATGATTATTTTTAACTTAACAAGCATTAATCTCCAAGTCATTTAAGTAAGATTTTCTAACTCACAGGCTGATCAGAAGTTTGAGAACAGTAGGAAAATTTAAGCTTATCACCTGTTATAATTTATTCTAATTAAAGTATTGAACATGTTTTATGTAAAAAGAATGTTTTATGTAAAAAAGAATCTGATAAACTTTTCAATGCTTACCGGAAAACTTCAAGGGGGGCAAAGACAGTTGCAATGATGTCCCCAACATTAGACAACTTAGTTGTAGAGGTAATTGAGATTTGGATAGTCCAAGCAAAGCGCAGTATGACATCCTCTATGATGGCACAGTAGTAGTAAGCCTGACGAACAATAAATAAATTATGTTTTCTATCACCTTTCTCACAAATAAACATACTTATAAATAGCTAAGACCCACATCAATAGAATCATGAGGAAAAAAAGTTATTCTAATTTTAGAGAGGATATATATTTTAGGAAGATATCAAATAATTTCTTTTAATGGTACATCATTCAAAATGAAGTAATACTAAGTGTCAGTAATTCTTTAACATATATATTTCAGTCTTATATTGTATATCAGACTCTCTTCTAGTGCCCAGAAATACAAGCTAAAAGAGAACCTTGATCACTTTGGACTACATTTTAGCAGGAACATGATATGCTAATGACTAATAACTAACATTAGTGAATATTAACAGATTTATTGACCATACTATTTGCACTCAGTTTTTCAAATTGCAAAGCTTAGATTTCACAAACATGGTTGGAATTAAGAAATGCTCTATTTTTTGCAGAGGAAGAGGCACTCAACAAATATTCATGGGGACTAGTATTGAGGACTTAGTAATCTAGTCTTAAATACACAAACTGCCAATCGATCTTGATATTTATGGATATGCTCATTAAAAATTCTTGTTCTCTCTTCCCCCCTTCCTTCTTTCACTTCTTCTTTTTTTTTTTTTTTTTGGTCAGTCGTGGGGCTTGAACTCGGGTTTCGGCGCTGTCCCTGCGCTCTTCAGCTCAAGGCGAACACTCTACGGCTTGAGTCACAGCGCCACTTCTGGTTTTAAGAGTCTCACAGACTTTCCTGCCTGGGCTGGCTTTGAACCGTGATCCTCAGATCTTAGCCACCGGCCCCCAGCCCTTCCTTATCTTTTTCCTTCCCCCCTTCTCTCTCTTTCCCTTCCTTCCTTTCTTACTTTTTTTTCCCCCCCAGAGTTGAGGACCAAACTCATTGAGCTAAATTCCCCCACCCCCAATAATTTCTTTCTTTTTTTTTTTTGGGTCCGGTTGTGGGTCCTGAACTCTAGGCCTGGGCGCTGTCCCTCAGCTCTTCAGCTCAAGGCTAGTGCTCTACCACTTGAGCCACAGCGCCACTTCCGGCTTTTTTTCTTTTTTTTGCTTATGTGGTGCTGAGGAATCGAACCCAGGGC